AAGTCTATAATAAAAGAATTTCTTTGAGTGGAGAGAGGTAAAATCAAAGTACAGAATAAAAACATTTTAAATAAATGTATTAGAACATAAGATATTAAGATGACTATTAAGGACACTATAGCCCTGGCCAGTGTCCTTCAGTGGTCAGAGTGTCAGCCGTGCACTAAAATGGTCCCAGGTTCGATTCTGGTCAAGGGCATGTACTTGGGTTGTGGGCACATCCCCGGTAGGAGATGTGCAGGAGGCAGCTGATCGATGTTTCTCTCTCATCGATGTTTCTAACTCTCTATCTCTCTCCCTTCCTCTCTGTAAAAAATCAATAAAATATATTTTAAAAAAAAGAAATCACAGTTAATTCCACCAAACCGTGCCTACTGTGTTGCATGCCCTGTACTATGTGCCACGGGTAAGTAAGTGAGGCCATAAGCAACCCAGGCTATGTCCTCAGGAAGCCCCTAGTCTAAGAGGAGAGAAAAAGCCACGGGAGCATTTGAGTAGACTGCGGTCAGCACCACAGGGCTGGACAGCGGCAAAGAGCGCGCAGGTTTTCAGAAGGAAGATGAAGTCTGGGCCAGGTGGGGAGGTCTAGGAAGCTTTCATGGGCGAGATGGCAATAACAGAACACTCGTTATGCACCAAGGACAACCAACTGATCCTGGAGTGCGGGGAGGGAGGAGTGCTACGGGTAGGTCTGGGAGGTAAGGCAGCAGGTGCCCTGGCAAAGGCATGGACCGAAACGGCTGGATGGACAAAGAAACATTCTGGGATGTGAATCATACAGTAGAATGGCAAAAGAGGCAGCTGTAAATAGGGAAGCCGAGCCCCCCCCACACACACACACACAAATCTGTGTTGTCCTTTAGGATCCCCAAGGCCCTATCCTCCTCTCCATCTCAAGCAATTCTTGCCCGATGGGGAAACGGCACCCCAGCAGGGAAGCCCAAGGTCACTCACTGGAGATAATGCCCAGGACTCTCCCCTTCCACCTGCCCGAAGGGGGAGAGCTCTGGTTTCCTGGTTACTGAGACTGGGGTTGGAGACCTAAGGGAAATGGGAGGGGAGCCTTTCTGTCAGGTGCACCCCCACCACAGAGCCCAGCCCAATCCTCGCTGTGCCATGTGAGTTCTCTGGGCCTCTTTTGCTGGGTATGATGATAAAATCTGCCTCACCAAGTTGCAAGGGTGAAAGGAGACAATACTCCAGAGCAGCGGTCGCCAACCTTTCGGACCTCACTGACCACCAGTGGTCCACGGACCACCGGTTGGTGACCGCTGCTCCAGAGTACTGTGACTAGACCACAGATGTCCTCCTCACTGTGCGGACATGTGACATTGCTTCCTCCTCCTTCCCCCAACTCCAGGCTCCAACGATGACTGCTCCAGGACTGATAGATCTAGCCCAGAACTGGCCAGATGCAGGTCCGGTGAGGGTGGCACTAAAGGGCCTGGCTTTGGCCCAGGGGGCAGTCTCCCCCAGGAGCACCTACTCCTTATACCACACCACACCCTGAGGAGGGACGTGGACACAGGCCTTTTGGGGTCCTTCTCCTTGACAAAGAGCATCCAACTGAGAACTAGCCCCAGTACCATGTCTGGAGCAAGAGGAACATGGGGCAAAGGGGAGGGGGCTGTGTGCGAAAGACCCTGGCCCCAAGACTCTGCCTGCCACTGTGTGACCTTGAGTCAATTACTTTCCCTCTCTGGGCCTGGGTAGCCTCATCCGTCAATGGGGGTGGAAGACTGGGCTCCACTTTTCCAGCCATAATCAATAGTCTGGGAGAACCTGGGGGGACTTCCCCCACACCCGAAGGTGGGGAACCCTAAGGCCCCTGTGTCCTCCACCTCACCCTCCACCCGGGGGTCCCCAGCTCCCGGGAGGGGGAGGGCTGGGGCGCGAATGCAGCATCCCCGGTGCTCAGCGCCCTGCCATTGGCTGGAGATGATCTCACCGCCTCCCAGCCTGCGCGTGCCTGATTGGCCGGCGCCGGGATGCTGCGCTCAGCCGCGGCCGTCGTTCAGGCGGGCTCGGAGCGTGTGTGAGCCCGGGGAGCGCAGAGGTGATGCGCCCGGCGTCCCCCAGGGACCCGGGAGGCAAAAGCGCGGAGACCCGGGTCAGAGCCTCTTCCCACCAGCCGGCGCCCACGAGGCCCTTCTAGTTCCCCTGGTCTCCTAGCCCCGAGCAAAGCCACCCCAGAGGATGCTCCGCAGAGAGGCGGGTCCGGGTCCTCCCCTCCACCCCCTTCCGTTTAACCCTTTCG